GTGGGTGTGAAGGCTCCAGGGACCTCAGCAAGAGGAGTCTCAGGTGAGTGATGGGGGTGGGGGTTGGTTAAGGTGAGATGGGAGGCAAGGAGCTGGCACCAGGGCATGACACTGTGAGCAAATGAGAGGATGTCATGGGGGAGCTGGGGAGAGCAGGATGGGAACAGGCAACACATTTGTATTGGGGAAAATCTCTGGCAGAGAGAGAGAAAGTCTTCAAGAAGAGGTGATTTGGGGAACAGTGTTCTGCAAAAGTGGATAGGATCCATCATGCTGATAGAAGAGTCAATGTTAAAAGAGAAACTTTCTCACTGACCCAGGAGGGCAAGTGGTATCGATGAGTGTCAGCGGGTCACTGGCTTACCAGTAAAGGTGACAGGAAGTTGAGGGCTTGCCAGTGCTGTTTCAGTGCTCTCTCATGAGTCCTGTGGAGTTGAACACTAGGAGGGAGGGTTATTCCTTGGAAAACCGACAGTGCAGGGTTTTAGAGAAAGGGAGCAGGATCTCTCATAAGAACATGTCATGTTCAAGGGCCATGTGATTTGGAAAACACAGTTGACTTTGGAGAACATTGCCAGATCTGAGCCACCAATCTGATAATGTTCATACAATAAATGAACTCTCTTAAAATAAACTGTTTCTCTTTCACCTTGATTCAAAGACCTCACGTAGCATAGAGTCATACTCTTCTACAGAGCACCCTCTGAGGTAGCAACATCTCACAGCTTACCTCTGTAACCTTCCCTCTGCTGGTCCTTCTGCTAGTTCTTTATAGGATAGAGATTGGACAGATAGACAATCATTTCTGAGATTATCTCACAAACTGCTTGGCGGGTTTACAGCCACCCCAAGGATAGAGAGGCCGGCAGCTCTCTCTGCCTTCAAACCGCCAGAATTGACTGAATGCAGATACTGGAGGACAAGAAATAAGTTTTTGTGAAGTGATTGTGGAGACATGGAAAGTAGGGGCTGTGAGCGGGACCCTCCATTCATTCACAAGCATTCCTCATCAAGGCGCTGAATACAGGGACTGTTTCTCAGCAACAGAGACCTGCCCTTGTCATGCTGTCTGCCCTGCAGCACTGGGAGGCACGCTTGACCTGCAGTTCCTAAGCCTGTGTCCCAAAAGCGGGTGAGTTGTTGTGAAAAGGAGAAGACAGCAGTGTTCTCAGTATGACTTGGGTTCTACACGTTCTAGCATGGCACACCTGTAAAATTCCTATCTACCTGCCAGCCAGGTGTGACGCTGCACGCGGATGGCACTGTAGTGTTTCCTGAACAACCTTAATCTGCACCAGGCCTGTGTTTGTGCTGCCTTTCATGAGTGTGAAGGTGCTGAAGGTGCCTTTCTTCATGCTCACATCCCTGTGAATGAAATTGGCATGAAAATTTCTGTGGGCAGAGTATGCTGCAGAAGTATCTGACTATGACGGGGACTGGGCCTCTTGCTTTGTCTGAGCAAACTCTCTGCAGAACATGAGAATAAAAGGCACTTAACGTTCTGGCCAAAACCAGAAGTCTTTCATTCTTAAATGTTATCAGCACACTGAAACAGAACTGAAATCAAAGACAAGTGCTCTCTTTTGCAGGTGTACATTGAACGCCTTTTAACGAATGCTAACATCGATCTTTGTCCTACTAATTGGAAACAAATTGTCTACGGAGCCATGCTTCTGGCCTCCAAGTTTTGGGGAAATCGTCGTCACTGGAGTGCGGATGACAGCCAGAATCCCAAGGATGTTGCAGTTGAGACAATGTGAGTTTCTAAGGTTTTGGCAAACTTTGCCATCATTTTCCATGCCTCATTTGCTCTCCAAGTTATCAGTGTAAGAAATATCTTTATAGGTTTCCTTGTGCAGATAAAGGAAGTAGGCATAAGACCACAGACTTCAATCTATCCAGCTTTAGTATAACAGTTTATAATTTCCAGCATTAATGGGTAAGTCTTGAAGTGTTGTTGTTGTAATAACTGGCTGATAAACTGAAGTGTTTTTCTGATTGTTTTTTGGAAAACCTCTTACAAGTGTGCTGTCAGAATGACACAGTGCAGTAAATATCTTTATAGCTTTTTAGAAGCCACCTGCCAGTTTCAGTCCCCTTTGAAGGGGTAAACATCAGGCCTTTGAAATAACTGGCCACTTTTCAGGTGTTAAGGCCTCGGGACTATGCAGAACTTACAGCTTTAACCTAAGTCACCCATTGTGTATTTGCTTTTGCTGGTCCTTGTCTCCCCCTTTAATCTGAAGATCTGCTTTTATAGGAACCTTGAGATATGATGTTAAATAGCTACAGATTTCTCTGCCCTGGCTCCTCCCCATTAACATTGCATGTGTTTGGAAATTGGTCTGATGAGTTAGAAGCTTGCACGTTCACCTCCCGCAGTGTGAGAAGCATTTCTGGGGCATCACGCCATGCCCACCACACTCACAGGCTCCCTGGGTACTCAGACATTCACAGAAGCAGGCTCGGGGCCAGTAGTTGTTTATGAGAGTCTGGGAGCTGTGCAGGGTCATGGAGTTCCTCCCAGATGCACCAACATGGCACTGCAACACAGCTTCCCCAGGGTTCCCTTCCCATTTGGCCTTATGACTGCTGTGAAGTGAAGGGCCCTGAAGCAGGCAGGCAGGGTGAGCAAGGGGGCATTTCCAGCAGAGCTGCCCTGGGTGCCCGCTGGACAGTGAGGACAGCTGTGTCGGCCGCATCTGGTGCAAGACAAGGGAGCAGCTCTTGTTTACGTTGACCAGCAGAAAAGACAATGCCAGGCAGTGGCACAAGTTAGTTTTGTGATCCATCTTTGCCCGTGACTCCAGATAGGAGGACTGCTATTCAGAATCACCTCAGTGTATGGCTGCAATTGAAGATACAGTTTATATTGTAGATACACTGCAGTGTGTATAGTATCTACATTCAATCACTTGTGCACAGGAGTTCAGACCTGCTGGGTAACACAGTGAAGCCTGTCCGTACAAAAAATTTTTTAAAAAATTAGCCAAGTGTGTTGGCAGGTTCTGTAGTAGTCCCAGCTACTTGGGAGTCTGACGTGGAAGAATTGCCTGAGCCTGGTAACTTTAGGCTGTAGTGAGCTGTGATCACGTGACTGCACTTCAGTCCTGGGTGAGGGAACCAGACTCTCTCTAAGAAACAAACAAACAAACATTTTTGTCACCACTTTGCTAATAGTATAAACCAAGTGATAATTGTGATATTTGGGGTAGCCATTTTAGCAAAGAGTATGACAGCAAATGAATTTGAAACAAATGGAAGTACTTTGAAAGCTGCAAATGCTAAAGGGAGTTTAATCATAGTCATCCACTGCAAACTGTTCCCTAAAAGGAAGCAAGATTTGTGACTGCCTGATTTCTCCTTCTCTGCTGCCTAGCCAGAGCTGATTTATCAGTACAGGATAATTGCAATAGAGAAAGTGTTGAATTCATGCAGAGATAGCTGTACAGGAGACCAGAGTTTGACTATTACTGAAATTAGTCTCTCTGAAAACTCTGGGATGGTTTTTTAAAAGAATAATTTGGTGGGTAGGGGGTCAGAAAGTGGGGAGTGCTGACAGATCAGGTCAGCGATGAAATCATAGGGCAACGTTGAAGCTGTCCTCCTGCATTGAGTTGGCTGCTGGGTTGGGGCCAAAAAACCAGATGAGCCACGTTGATTTGTTAGGGTGGTGTCACCTGATCCCAGTACAACGTCTGCAAAATATCTCAAGCACTCAATTTAGGTTTTACAATAGTGATGTTATTCCCAGGATCAATATGGGCAGGTTCAAATTCTTGCAGCCTTCAGCCTCATGACTCCTAAGCCACAATTTCTAATCTTGTGGCTAATTTATTCATTGTGGAAAGGTCATCTATCTAGTTCCCAGGTGGGAAAGGGGTTTGTTTTGGGAAAGGGTTGTTACCATCTTTGGTTACAAAGTTAAACTACAAACTACATTCCTTCCAAAGTTAGTTTGGCCTCTGTGTAGGAAAGAACAAGGACAGCTTGGAGGTTAGAAGTGAGATGAAGTCACATCAATCCTCTTTCACTGTCATCATTTTCTCCGTTACAATTTTTGCAAAGGTGGTTTCAAATTTGTAATCATGAACACTTAGTTCTGCCATTTTGGCAGCTGAATTGTTCTCAAAACCTGCAGCTAAGCTGGCTGAGGCTCTGATTTCCAGTCACAAGATCAGAGAGCATGCAGGGATAAGTGCAGGTTTCCACAGAAGTGAGCTCCAGAAGCAGTGGAGGCAGAGGCCAGCCCCAAGAAGACAGGTTCCAAACAGAGCTGTTTGTGTGTGAACGGAGATATACCGGGAGCTATGGTCTGAACAGGCTGCTTCTGTTTGTGATCTTGGGAAGCTGAAAAGCATTACGTCCAAGCATTTAATAGACATGTGTCTCACCCTACTCCTCTTGACTATTTGCAATGATCCCATTTTGAGTGTCAGTTTAACAGATAAATAACTGCTGTCCCTCAGATTTTTCTTAAAACGTTCCAACATCGATGTGTCTCCCGGAATATATATCCTTTCTAGAGAGTTAAACTGAGTAGCCACTATGCAGAAATGCTGTGTTGTAAAGGGTATGCTGTTCAGTCAACTAGCTGTTTAAAAAACCAGAAATCGGCCGGGTGCGGTGGCTCAAGCCTGTAATCCCAGCACTTTCGGAGGCCGAGGCGGGTGGATCACGAGGTCAAGAGATCGAGACCATCCTGGTCAACAAGGTGAAACCCCGTCTCTACTAAAAATACAAAAAATTAGCTGGGCATGGTGACGCGTGCCTGTGATCCCAGCTACTCAGGAGGCTGAGGCAGGAGAATTGCCTGAACCCGGGAGGCGGAAGTTGCGGTGAGCTGATTGCGCCATTGCACTCCAGCCTGGGTAACAAGAGCGAAACTCCACATAAAAAGAAAAAAAAAAAAAAACAGAAATCTTAGAAGATGAATCGGCTGTTCACAGAATTCTTTTCTTCAGTGATTAAACCTCTATGAATAGCTACGTTAATTCTGGGAAGTGCCATTAATTTCTGTAGTAAGTCACGACCTGATTACCTGTCTATTCAAATATTGTTTCATTTACATTTCTATAGACCTATGGATACGTGAACAGGATATTAATTTTAGAAGTAGGTTCAGTTGGATTTTACGTTCAGCAAATGAGATCCCCACATCTTGACTTAGAGTCTAACTGCCCTCCACTTTCAAGCATTTGCTTACTTGGCCAATGGGTAAAAGGTTAAAACCTTCAAACCAAGAAACCAAATGTATTGTTCAGATATTGATCATTTTTAAGCAATTAACTCATTACAGGGCTTACTCTGAAAGCAGCCAGAATGACTCTAACTGTGTACCTATTAATTTAGCTTTGGTGAGGGCAGCTGGATGACCGTGAGGCAGAGGACGGCTCCCAGTGCTTTCCTCTCCTATTGCCTCCAACTCCCCCACATTCTGTTCTGTCCAGGGGTGACAGATGCCGAGTTCTTCAGGGTTGCATTCCTAACTCAAGAGCAACACTGCATGTGTTAAGGCCAGGGCCCTACTATAAATCACATTATAATATGAGTTTAGCCAAAATGACTCTCCTTGACTTTTCTGCCTTTCAAATTGTAAATGTTATTCTTCCCCAGTCTCTTCATAATATTAAGGTGAGCAGAAACTTGCATTATGCCTCCTTGACACAGCCTAGTGTGCTGGAGCAGAGGGAAGGGGATTCTTTTTGCCATAAAATGTATCTTGCTTATGTATTTATTTGGGATGAATTCTCCTTGTAGCCTTACAGTTTTTCCTCCTCCGAGGTAATAGGGTGGCTCTCCATGGGTCCCCTTGTTGCCATGGTGATGCACCCCATCTTCCTGTTGGTGCTTCTCTACTTCAGCAAGTCCCTTCCTGTTATTGTCCTGGGAAATATGCCTGGAGCTTCTTCAGAGCTAAGAAATGGTACCCATCATTCCTGTCATCTCATCACCATTGCGGGGTTTGTGAGTGAGCTTGGAGTCTGAGTTGCGCAGCTGCCCTAAGGGAACTGTGAAGAATAAGCCCCGAGGCAGCAGCAGGAGTGCAGAAGAGGCTTCCACCTCTCCCTCATCCCAAACTTGGGCTGCTGGGATGCAGAGGAGACCCCAAGCAGCTGTGCCTTGTTTGGACATTAGTGTAAGGACCCAACCACTCAGCCTTTATTTGTTTCAAAACAGAACTTTGAGCATCCTAGTAGCTCAGAATATTTTTAAAGATAACCCACTTGACTAAAATTGCCCTGTGTTCGCTTTATTGTGTTTCTCCTCCCACAGGAGTAAGATGGAGAAGAGTTTTTTGGAGCTACTTGAGTTTAATATTCATGTGTCTGCCAGTGTTTATACAAAATATTACTTTGACCTGCGTGCCTTGGCATACGACCATGACCTGTGTTTTCTATTTAGTTTTCTTCGCAAAGATAAAGCAGAGAGATTGAAGGTAAGGCTGTGAAGTCACTTAGTGGAGTTTCCCATTGGCCGCAAAAGCCAACATCTGTGACAAAATCATATTAAGTAGTGATTAGGAAAATGAAAGCCTTAAAATCAACAGACCAAAGTGCTTATTTCTTTGGCATCATATTTCATGCCTTTTATGCATTATACAAGAATCATTATTATTATCATCATTATATTATTTTATGAGAAGGAGTTTCGCTCTTGTTGCCCAGACTGCAGTGCAATGGCACGATCTCAGCTCATTGCAACCTCTGCAACCTGGGTCCAAGCAATTCCCCTACCTTTGCCTCCCGAGTAGCTGGGAGGATGTGCAGGCACCACCATGCCTGGATATTTTGTCTTCTTACTAGAGACAGGATTTCTCCATGTTGGTCAGGGTGGCCTCTTCGAACTCCTGACCTCAGGTGATCTGTCCACCTTGGCCTCCCAAAGTGCTCGGATTACAGGGATGAGCCCCTGCACCTGGCCAAGGATCTGTATTTTAAAAAGTTATTGATATTCTCACTGCTTTGACCATAATTCAGAATATTTTTAATTAAATTTAATCTGTTCTTAATGGGTTTTATTTTTTTTTTCTACCCGTTCACATAGCATACATGAATAAATGCAGTTGTATTCCTAATTATATCTAAATGGACAATGCACTTAATGCTCTTGACTGTCTTTTACTTAAGCAATTGCAATTTCGTGTCCTTGTCTATTCTGTATATCTCGGTGCAGTCCCAGGAGTTTATCGGACAAAGCAGTAGTGGCTGAGAGACTTGTGCTTAGACTGTATAAGGTGCCAGTGTTTCAAGTACTAGGTGTAGGAACGACATGAGCTTTCAGTGAAAATGGCTTCATGGGACAATGTAAGATTTATGGTTTATGACTCTTGGTGAGTACACAGGGAAATTCCAACTGAGACAGACACATTTAAAATTGGCACTGTCTCTGGTGTCTCGGTCGTACTTTGGAATAATACATTTCTCTACCACAATGTGTAAGTAGTGTAGCACCTTGTGGTGCTTCAATCATTAGGCTTCTTGGGTGTTCTCAAGCAGCCCAGCACGCACCTGCCTCATTAAAATCTGCTTGGAGTGTGTAGTAACTACTAAGGATTCGGTAGAATTTGAATCACTGAGTAAGTTGATTGTTTGGCACAAGTGTATGTTGATTATGCTGAAGGAACAAGTGCACAGGTAACAGATAATATTGTTACAAGCTTGTCACAATACTCTGAAAATCTTTTGGAGCCCTATTTTATTTTTTATGTGATAATATCACCAAGCAATGAACCTAATTTTAAACTTATATAGTAAGTTTCTCTTGCCTCTGGCAATCTTTTCATAGTTCTTAAAGGAGACAACCTTAGTGAATGGGCAGGGAGCTGCATCCTCAGAACCTGGCACTGTAAAACTCAGCCAAAGCAGCTGCAAGGGAACCCTCCAAAGGAATCTGTACGTGTGACTTTTCATCCATGATGCCTTTTAAAAAATATTGGAGCCTTTTAAAAAATTGTACCAGTTTTCTCTTTGATTGACTTTCCTAGGCTATGTCACCACCATGTGAATACAAAGACTTGCATCAAGATGTTGCCACTATGAGAAGGGCCGCCAGCATGGATTTCATCGCTCTTCGTCATACTAATGCCATCTTACCTTAAAAACAGAAATTAGCATTATGATCCTGGACTTCTCAACTCTAAAGACTACAAAATATCACTTCTCTTGCTGAAAAAGTCCAGGAAAATTAGGATTTTGTTTTTTTTACGTTTTTAAAAAAAATTTTATTGTTGTTGTTGCTCTCGTTGTTGTTGTTGTTGTTGATTAGGATTTTCATAGAGCGCAGATTTCTTCAAATAACCACACTGTGAAGCTGTGTGATGGTGGAATGAACAGTGGGTGCCAGGTGCTACCTGCCCTTCTTGTTCCACTGAGTCCAGATGGCATTCCTAGGGCACTACCTTCTTGAACAACTCTTGTGGAGGAAGACTGTCACATGGACACAGCACATCCCAGTGCAGAGTCAACAGTCACCCACAGTCCCAAGCAGGTGACAATCTGAACTGAGCTGGAATACAAAAAACTTTAGAATTGGCCCCAGATTTGTGAGAGTGCCTGGGTTTGGATCTCTGTCCACAGAGGCACTGAATGCATGATGGCCCGAAACAACAAGTGTGGGAAGTTAGAATGCATGGGGACAAGGCTGTCATTACTCCAAGTTCCATGGGGGCTCAGGCCTGTTCATCTCGTCTTTGAAGGGAATCTGTGCATGTGAAATGAGGCTCCCACATCATGGTTATAATGGGAGAGAGGAAATCAGCTCATCTTCCCCCAGGCCCATAATGGTCATACCAAAACACAGAGTCTTGCTGTGTTGCCAGGCTGGAGCGCAGTGGCGAGATCTCCAGTCTCTGCAACCTCTACCTCCCGGGTTCAAGTAACTCTCCTACCTCAGCCTCCCAAGTAACTGGGACTACTGGCATGAACCACTGACCCAGCTAATTTATATATTCTTAGTAGAGACAGGGTTTCATCATGGTGGCAAGGATAATTTTGATCTCTCGACCTCGGGATCTGCCTGCCTCACCTTCCCAAAGTGCTTGATTACAGGTGAAAGCCACCGTGCCCGGCCTCTTGCATTTACGTTCACAATAAAGTGGTTTGGAATATCCCACTGTTAATTTGTGATTTCCTCCTCCAAACATAGTCTGTGGCCCTGTATACATAACTGAATATTTTCATGTATTGATATTTTGTGTCTGAAGATGAAATATTAAATGAAACATGTTGAAACACTTCATGCAAAGCCTTTGGTGGTTGTAGAGTCTACTCTTTGGTGAATACACAAATTCATCTATTTTAAATATTAACATTTTTATTAGATGTGATAATGATTTTTCCTTTTTTATCTTCACTTGTTAGATACAGTTACTTACATTCTTCCATAATTAATGATATTGTATCTGATATTTGATGTAAAAACTCCTAGAATATTTGGAATTGATACTTGAAATTAAACAGGAAAATGAGAATTGCTGAAATCTAGTGATAATATACTTATGATGGGTTTATTATCTATGATTTCTGTCTTTGTAAATTTTTAAAGTTTCCATGGAAAACTATACTAAGAACTTAAAATTTTCTTTAAAACCCTTCATGCCCTGCATTTTAGCTCCAATGAACAATGAATAAAGGAAAATGGATTCTCCTGTGGGAATTCTGCTGAACTCTTCCTTTCTTTTCCCTTTAACCTTGGGGGAGCATATTCAGGTCACCATGGGGTGAGGTGACCATGAGTGGGGTCCCTTGAGCTGCCGCTGGGAGGAGTGTGTATGTGGAGATGGGTTTCATGACCACGTTTCTTCCTCGGGTCTTTCTGGTTGTGATGGTGGCTTTGAGGATGGTTTCTGAGGATCCTCTCCAGGGGATTCCTCCACCTGTGGTGTCTCCCTTGGGGGAAGGCCTGAGAATATCTGGAGAGGGATTCATAGGGTCGCCTCTGTGTGACAGAGGTGCCTTGTGCGGGTCCAGAAAGCCGTGTTTTAGGGGCAGTGGAGCCTCATCCCCCCTGTAGGGTGGGCGGGATGTCTGAGGGAGTGCTGGAGGAAAGCCCTGTGTGTCGGGGTCACTGTGCAGTCTCAGTACAGCCCTAGACCTGGGGAAGTCATGATGGAGACTCAGAGGTGCTTGGGGCAGGGAAAGGGGTAGCCGAGGCAGTCACCAAGGTGTGACAGCATCGCTGATGCCAGGAGGCAGTTTGGGGAGGGGTCTTTGGAGGGGAATAATTGTGGAGTCTCCACAGGCGGGGAAAGTGTGAGGGTGCTCCAAGGCTGGAGATCAATGCGGGGTGGGTGGAAATAACCTAGGGAAGCTCTCAGGAGAATAATGGGCCCCACAAGGGTTGGGGTGGAAGGAAGGGGCCTCAGCATGTCCTGTCTTGCAGGGGCCTTCTGTAGGCCGTCTGAGAGATGGATCCCTGGGGCTCCTGAGGTCCCCGGTAACCCGGGTGGGTTGTTTTCCAGGGTCAGACCTTCTGGGTCCTGGAGCAAGGAAATGAAACTGGCTTCTTCCTCCCCACCACCTGTGGGCGCTTGACAAATTCCCTTTGGGGAGTCCCAATGCTCCTGGGCAGGGAAGCTCCTTGAGCCCTGGGGGACAGAAGGGCGACCCCTTAAAAGCCAGCAGCAGAAACAGATGGAGCTCTGCACCTCTGTATCCTTTTATTCTGGAATTGGAATTGGGTTTTCTTGGCGATGTGCAAGTCTGAGGGTGGGTCCGGCGCTCCCCCTGCTCCTTCTCTGCCAGACGCAGTATTCATTGCAGATCTGACCCCCAGGGCTGGCACTGAGGGGACCGAGGCCTGGTGCAGGGTGACATCCAGGCTCCAGGGACTGTCAGGGGCCATCTGCACCCTGCGAGTACCAAGTCCACCCCACAGCTCCTGCGCTGGCCAAGGAGGGTGCCTGGCACCAAACGCAGACCCACAGCCTGAGCTCCAGAGATTCTTTTTATTTTTGACACAGAGTCTTGTTCCAGAACCAGCCACGCCACGTAGGTATACAAACAGAAGTAATGCGGGGGGCTGGAAAAAAAAAAGAAAAAGAAAGAAAGGCAAATTATTGAATGTGGCAGTCATGAAATATGGGGTTTTGTATCGGATTTCATTGTTACTTTGGGTTTAGAATGAGTGACTGAAGATAGTTCTAGGACTGGGATAGACAACTGTAAAGCTCCAGGCAACTGGGACCAGGAGGGTCTTGCTAACCTTCCTGTGAGATGGCTCTTCTGAGCTGTGTTTGACAGGGGATATGCCCAGCCCTATGAGTACAGCTTCACATTCCTAATACTCTGTGGGTCACAGCTGTCTTCAACAAATTAAAATCATTTCCTTTGCTTTTCTGACCTGGTTATATGAATCACATGTTTCCTGCCCATTAATATCCTTACATCAGTAACCAAACATGTGGCTGTTAGCTTGCTGCCTCCTTTTTCTTTATTATGCTTTGAACTGGATAAGAAATATATTTCATTATTACAATCTGTTACTTGGGTTTCTGAAAGTTGGAAGTACCTTAGTGTATGTTGATATGTTTATTTTTTTGAATGCTTTACTGGGGTATACTTTGCATTCACTCTCCTTTGCCATGTCAGATCTAGACAACGATCAATTTTATGTCTCTATACATGAGCCTATTATCAAAATGTCTGATACCCAGGTTTATGAATTATGTGGTCTTTTGGGTCTGGTTATTTCAGTCAGCCTAATAATTTTGGGTTTCCTTTCTGTGGTAGCGTGTATCATTACATCATTCCTCTTGGATGGCAAGTAGTGTTCTATTGCATGGACCAGACCAAATGTTATGAGCATTCATATAAGAGTCTTTATGATTATAGGAATTTTATTTCTTTTGCATACTAACTTTGGGTTAGAGTTTCTGTGTCCTCTAGTGATTTTATGTGCAACATTTTGAGGGATAGCCCCATTTTAGTTTTGTTTAGTTTAGTTTTCAAGGTGGCCACAGTATTTTACATTCCCATTTGCAGCATATGTGAGTTCCATATTCCTCACTTCTTTACTAACATTTGTCATTGTATCTTTGCTATAGCCATTTAAGTGGGTGTTAATTAGTATTAATTGTGGTTTGACTTGTATTTTCTTACCAACGAATGAAATTGAGCCTATTGGCAAACTGTGTATCTTCTGTGGAAAATGTCTATTCAGTGATCATAGAACCTCTCTCCTCCCCCTAAATATCTGCCATTCAAAATCCCACGAAACACACAGAGGGGCAGTGTTCAAGTTGGGGACCCTGGGAAGTCCTCAGGCCACCCCTGCATGAGGGCTGCCCCAGGAGAGCAGGGCGAGCTTGTGAAGGCCCTGAAGCTCTGACAGCCCTGCCCACCTGAGACAGGGGCCCACACAGAGGAGGTGGCCTTGCCGGTCCCCCAATGCCTGGGTGTCCTCTAGAGACATTAGGGAGAAGGTTCTTTGCCATCAAGGATCCCTGCTAGCCAGCAGGCAGATGTGTGTGTGTGTGTGTGTGTGTGTGTGTGTACCAGAATTCTAGTGTTCATAGCGGAATTTGAAAATGAAAGTGTAAAGCTGAAAATTTAATCATGCATGAGAACACACCTGCAAAATTAAACCACTGCATAATAACACTCTGCTCTGTGCTAGGTGGGTTGTTCCACAACTCAGGGCCCCGGGAACCTCCCTCCCGACAGAGCCCTATAGTGTGTGAGGCCCCGTACATGTGAACCAGGGCGGAAATCTGCACAAGAGCACGGATGCGGACCCATCTGATGCCTCTGACAGGGCTGAGGGTAGCCCCTTGTCCTTCCTCAGCATTTTCACTGGGGCTGACCTGGGAGATGCATGAGGCACTGGGGCTGGGAATTGTGCAGAAGTGCAGAGAGCATGGGGGCCGGGAACTGGTGAGGGGGGTGAGAAATAGGCCTTCCCACTGGAGGGGTCTGCGGAGGCACCCAGACCAGGACCCCATTTGGGAAGAGAGATAACTGGCCCTGGACATCCTTTCCTTGTGCTGACCAGTGGCCGTGGGGCCCTCAGAAGGGCTTGAAGATGAACCCCCTCAGAGGCACACCACCTGGGCACATCCTTCCAGGGAGCCAGGAGCAGCCACGGTGTCCCCTGCAGTCCCAGATCTGTGACTGGAAGGTGGGACTCCCTGGAGGAGCAAGGAGGAGGCTC